ACGCCTCCTTGTTCTTCACAGCAGCGGGACGAGGGGCCCGAGCTGTTAAGCCCTTAAGTTTTGGAGAGGGGTGCACGGCCCGGAGGCAGCGCAAGCGAGGGACGCCGCTCTCTGCAGCTGGGCACCGAGTCGCGCCCGCAGAGCTAAACTAAACCTGCGGAAAGCTGTTTGTTAGGGCGTAATAGCCCCTGTCTTGACCGTGACAATGTTCCTCTTGGCCCTCAGTGTTCCTGTCCCTCAACATTCACGGTTTAGACCAGCATGCGTAACCGATCCCGCCGCCTCCGTAAGACAAGCAGCACCGGATGGTCCCTCACAGAGAAACCAGACGCTCCGACCCCGCTCCTCTGTCCTCTTTGCCCCCAAAGTCCCCGCCCTGGGTGGGAGCGGCGGGAGCGCAGCGCCCCTGCAAATCGGGCCGCTCTGTTGAGGTGTCAAAAGATCCGGCTCAGGTGCCCGCTTCGGGCTTCCCGATCCTCCTGGCCATCCCGCCTGCTCTGATGGCCTCTAAAACCTATTCAGCCCCTTCACCTTCCGGCTGCCCTCAAGGGCGGACCCCCCGGCACTGGGCTCAGGGCTGCACCAGTTCCGCTCGACTCGGGCGCCTCCGGTTGATGCTGGGGCGGTGGAACGAGAGCCCACCCTGAGTTGGGCTTGCTTCCCATGGCTGCGCGCTAGGCGCCAAGCACAGATCCCTCCGGAGCGGAGGGGAGCCTCGGCGGCAGCCCCAGCAGCGCAGGGTGCGGCAGGGCATCCCCCCGCTCCTCCCGGCGCGGGCAGCGCCCGCCCAGGCGCGGCAAAGGAGTCGGTGCCTGAGCCGCTGCCAGCACAGCCAGTGCCTCCCGCCCGGTGCATGGGCTCACCAGCCTCGGCTTCCTCCAGACACCCTACGCGGGACGAACGAGCGCTCTTCCCTGGGACCAGACTCCCCAGCACCAACAAACCTGGCCCTGCCCCGCTGCGGGACAGCACAGCCCCCCGCTCTGCCCCGCTGCCCACGGGTCCCAGCGCGGCCCTGGCCCTGCCCCCGCAGCGCCTTTCCCAGCCCCACGCACGTCGTGCCTCCAAAACCAAAGGCAGAGGAGCAGCGAGTCTCCTCTCGGCTACAAGGGCAGCCTCTGTGTACGCGATTACCCTTTTTCTTTTTTTTTTCCTAGAGCTTAGTTTTCCTTACTTTACAATAAAGCCATTCTTTGCTTTCTCACCTCGTTATCTCTTTCCCTTATCCGCTTTTGGCACGCTTTAGTTGTAATCCGAAGTTACGGGCAAACCCCTGGCACGTCCCCACCCCAGCCCGACCCCCAGGACATTTTACGGTCATACGGACTGCTGCTATCACTGTCCTTACGTGGGCTTTAATAGTAACAGAAACAGCCTCGTCTTTACTCTCTACTACTAGCAGATTTTGGTCAAAGGCTATCTGAGGTCAGGATTTTTTCTTTTTTTTTTTTTCCTAAATAAGTCAGCTTTCTAAAGCTACATTCTTCCTTTAAACCGAACACAGAGCTCTTATTTATCACTTTCTCTTTAATCAGCAACAGAAGAAAAAATTGCTATGAATTCCTGGAATCCCTGAAAGAGATCACACTTTTCCTTTGCACAAATCAAAGTTATCTGCTCCTATTATATCCTTCACTTAAAATGAATCATAAGCCTCTATCCCACTGAGCTTTCTCGGGGATACTTGTTTAGCACAGACGAGAACAATACGCTGTACATCTAAAGAGCCCAGGGCGGCAGAAGCCTCTCCGGCTGATACAAAGGATTGAGAAACGTCCTATCTTTAAAACGCATTTTTAGTGCCTTTCCACCTCCCTAGTGCACGACAAACAGAAGTCAGAGAGCAGGAAGATATTTATCAGAGAAAGATCTGAGTGGTGATTACGTGTCTGTCAATAATTAATTGAATTATGTCCTCATCATAATTACATACAGTCCTCTAGCCAGGAGGAGAAAAAAAAGAAGGAAGTTGTGGTGTGGTCGAAGGGGGATCTCAGGACATGGTTCCAGTCATTAAAAATGTGATGTAACATTGCAATCTGGTGTATTCTGAGGCACAAATGGGGAAACACAAACGAAACCAACTACTAAAATATTATTTGCTTTACAGCAGGGAGACAGAAAAAGCACTTGCCTTCATTAGTTGTTTTCATTACTACTTTCTGCTGGGGATTTAAAGGTATTTTACAATGCAAAAAACAGAGGTCTTACTCATTTGATCTATGAACTATATGCTTTGGGGTTTGTATTGTTCACCACATGCTATCTGACTACACTGGATGTTTCTGATGTTTGAAATAAAAATTTTAATCGGTGCAGAAATTAAAATTAGTCCAGCAAGGCACCCTATATTCAATACCAATGTAGAAATGACACATTCAAAGAATCTTGCAAGCAAATTCTTACTCTGACACTAATTTTTCTGTACTTCTTCCAGTCATAAGGGAGATCATAATATCATTATTAATTTATTATTTACTAAGAGCTGCTAGAGTACTCTTTTGGTACACAAATGCAAGCAAACAAAGAGCTCGATTCAGTTCTCACACAAGTTTTGCTCTGGTGTAACTTCAATGACACGGGTGTAGTCACTTCAGAACCACCTGGGTGTAATTATGATAAAAATCTGGGCTATTGCACTTCCTTTGCTTTTCTAATGGTTCAAAACCTCTCTTTTCCTACAGCATGCTGCGGAAGACAGACATCTGTTTGAATACAGAGCCCAAAAATCACTCTCAAGTTCCTCCTCACTGGCAATGCCAGTGTCCTATATCCTGCCAGAATTTAGGCATGTCAGCACATTTCCTCACTGCTCTGCACCCTCCCTACAGCATGAGAGTTGTAAACCCCATCGATATGTGTTTCCTTCCACTTGTTAAGGCACATCCTCCTGGTGTCTTGAGCTTTAGATCAGGTAGCTTTTCATTCTAATTGCTTTTCAGCATCCAGCTGCCAAAAGGAATTTGACACCTGCTTCCTTCTTCGCAAATTTCTCTTTTCAAACAAATGTTTGATGATGCCTCTTGAAATAGGGTTCATTTATGACCTTCACTTAATTGGCTAATTCATGTATTTTTCTCATCTACTTGGCCTTCCACCTGCTTCTTCAGGGATTTTGGAAGTGGTTTACAGTGGTAAATGCACTAACAATCAACTGCCAAAAAATCTTAACTAGAACAGCAAACAGTATTCAGTACTCCCTCTGTGAAAATGCAATACAGGACAAGGTTAAAATCCTTCAGCTAATATGTTTTGTATAAGAACCCTTCTCAGGGTATAATGTTTACCCCCTCAAAAGTAAGGATCCCTCAATCTGGTCCATGGAGTTCCTGTGCCCATCAAACTTAGAAGATCAGGCCTGTCTGATGTTTCCTCTCTCTTTTGCAAGTTAGTAGATCCATCCTGACTTTGCTTATGGAAGCATTTGTTTCCATTCCCTTTCAAGTAATAAATATCCTCCATCTTAAAAGGACATTTAGGACATGGCCATATGGGCCAAGGTAGCTCAACCTCCTGCATGTCACTCCCCCAGTGCCCAGAATTACCCCCACACAGAGGCGATCCCAGAATCTCTGATAAAGATATCCAAGAACTGCCTTTTTTACTGAAGACTCCAAGAATGAACTGGCACATGGTCCCTGGAAGAAGGGCATTTCATTATCCATTATAGAGTAACGGGCACTATAAAAAACTATGAACAGATTTAAAATTTACTGAAATCCTTAACAATGAGGTTAAGAACCATGGCAAAGCCTTTGATATTTTCTGCCCATCTTTTCCCTCTTGCCCTCTTAGGTTTATAAAGCAACTAGTGCTTGAGAAGCCTTCATTTGACTGGACTTTCACATCCATTCTAAGGCATCCCAGGCTGGATTTTTAGGGTCATATTTCTATTTTCTTGGTGTGTCTTGCTTTTTTTGCCTGAAGAGTCTGTCAGGATGTACATTCTCTGTAGTAGAAAAAATTCAGTATAGTTATTTAATCACTACAGGTTATCAGGTAATAAGTCCTCAAACCCTGTACCACAATGTGGAATTTAAATGAGGTGTCACAGCACAGAACCTCACTTCAAGTATCAGAAACTTGAACATTTCTGTGTTGAAACATCTTTCAGAGCTTTCTCTGAGTTCATATAACTTCACAAGCATAATTATGCCAAAGATATCACTAGTGCCAAAGACCTGAGAGTAGAAATATTTTCTAAGAATAAAAAATCATTTAATAACCTCAGGATAAATTTTAAAATATATGTTTATGAAAAAATATGTTTTATTATGTTTTCAATAAAATTTAAAGGTATATATTATGACTTTCAATAATTGTTATAATGGAAGTGACCCTAAAAAAAACTATGGGACAGAGCTGAAGTTCTGGAAGTTGCACAATTCAATGCAAGAAAAAAAATTTAGTCATTTGTTCACTTTCCATTTGCAGTGAAGGACAAGAATGAAGGACAATCAGGAAAGAATAGGGCACAAGGCTGCTGTCAACTGGATTTGCAGCACATGCACACAGAGAACACGCTGTGCCACACAGACACATGCATACAATGGCAGAGACCAAATTAGCCCAAAGTGGTTTTGGAACACTGAAAAGGGAGAGGCAGGGAGTTATGCATTTTATAGAATAAAATAGTTAATTTAAAAAGTGATAATTATACAAAAATTTAAACAAATTAACAAGTTCATTTCTATTTCTTCTTACTCAAAAGTGAAACATCCACTGCACGTATGTCAGTGAGTAATGAACAGTTCTGGGGAAACAGAAAATACAGAACTCAGTTGTCTTCTTCCCTCTATTTCATTTAATCTTTCCTTTTCACTGTATATTGACTTATCTAGAAGGCATACCACTGGAATGATTATGCTGAGCTCTTGTCTTTTTGATGTTCATGCAGATTCAGTTGTGATGTATCTCTGATACAAAATAATGTACCACAACATCAAACTGAGTCAATAGTTCTATCTACCTGATTAGAGCAAAGGTCTGGTAAGCAAAACCAACAGAAGAATTTGGAACTGTTCCCCAAAACTGACCTGCAAGACCTCTCCTATTCCCACAAGATGTCTTCACTGGATTCATTCAGCTGAAATAATTTCCAGAAATTATCTATTGGGAGGAACAGAAAGGAAGAAAAAGAGCAGATTGAGGAAGAAACGTCATGGATCTTGCTTTTTGTTTTTGCTTTTTTTTTTTTACTGGCTGAACCTTAAAGTCTTCAACTGCATTCTCATGAACACAAAGACAGGTTTGGAGGAACTCTGTAATGATTTGCCAGTAGAACTGAAACAAATTGGTATGTACCATAGAAATGCATCTGTGTTTTCTAAAGTTGGATAGGAACCTATCAGAGAGATGCATATTAATCCCTCCTGCAGACACTGCCGGAAACTGGAAAGATCTCCTTTGTCTCTTACCACATATTCTGTGTTACTATGAACTCACCCTGGAATTTTTTATCTGGTTAACAAATCTAATCCCTAGAAAAGAGACTTGACAAAAAGGCATATCAGATTTTATTTTGTCTTTGGAGCTACTGAACGTGCCTGCTGACTCACAATTCCTTTCTAGATCTGTCAAGCTTCTCTTGCTCAATGCAGTAAGACAGTGGCTCATGGGCCAGACAATGGGGAAGAAGCCACTGACTCTATGGGGTCTCTGGGAGAGACTGCAGCACTGTGTTACAAATGCATGGGACAAGGCCCAAACTGTGGGACAGTGACAAGAGGGAGATGGTTATCTATTTCCCATGCATAGCACTGACAGTTGACAGATATGCCCTGCTAAATATTGTCTGTGAAACCCGGTACTATTTTTAATAGCAGGTGACCAATCAGGGCATTCATTGTAATGCCCAAGTCATTCGTTTTTAGGCATGGATGTGTCATCATTGCAAAATGGAATTTAGGGTTTTTTGGAAAAGAAATCAACACTTAAGCCATACTTTTGAGCAAGTCAAAAGACACCCAAGGGTATGATTGCCTTGTATGCTGCTCTTTTTAATAAGGCCAAGGAAAAGCATCACTGGATGGGATCATCATCATCTGCTGCTTTAATGCAGACAATTGAAGAAGGCTCCTTACTGATGGCTGTAAATTCATCATTATGGATACCACTCAGAGTCATTTGGCATGACATTTTTTATGCACAGAACAGAAAAGTGCAGTATTAGCTCCTGAGTGATTGGATGACTTGTGCATCCATTAATGGGCATATCAGAAAATGTTTCCCAGCTCTGACTTATCTCCTACACAAATTGAGAAGATGCAGATTGTCTTGCAGTTGTTTACTCAAATTTTTGGTGCATTTTTTCATTTTGTCCAAAGTCCTGTTTATTTGAGAACCTACTATCATCATGCATTGCAGATTTTACTGCTGACTCTGAGATCATAACAGCCTAGCTGTGTACTTCACTTACTATGAAATCTACTGGATGAGAGAAAACTAGTTGCACTAACCCCATAACAAATAAACATTTCTCTGTTCATTGCTTTGGGAAATGAAGGAATTGGTAGATCATAAGCCCAGGAAAGCTGGACAAATTTTTGATTGAATTTTTTATCCACCCATGTTGGCATTTCAATCTGGTTAAAATCTGTGTTGTCCCTCTGAAAACTGCAAAATTATTTCAGCAAGAATTCAATATAACATAAAAACATTAAAAATAGAAACAGAAAACTCTATGCTCATTTTCATAATAGATCACGTTTTTCATTTAAGATGTTTCATTTCTAAATACTAGATTTAATTTTCAAAAAAAAAATAAAAATAAAAAAGTTTAAAGTTTCATTTTCCATTTTGGCCAACTCAAAAATCTACATTTTCCTGTTATGCAAGGGAAATAAAATACACATCATTCATATTCCCTGTTCTGTAGTCTTTCTTCCTGTTCATGAATTGTTCAGGAACTGGTTATGATCTGTTAATTTATTCTTTAGCCACACACTTCATTGATCAAATTACATGAACAAATTTCAGTCAAGAATGTATCAACTAATTGTTCACTTAGGATATTTATTTAACTGTGGTATATAACCATCACTTACATGAATGGTGTCATATTTGCTCCCCTGCTGATTATATGACTTTTTTTTTTTTCAGAGAGGAAATACGAAATATCAAGTCATGGCATTTCTCAGATGTAAATTATCAGATGAATAATCATTAAATGTTTAAAAGATATATGAAGTTTCTATCTAGACAGCAGCATTATCCACATTTAAGCCATCAACACATTTTCAGAATTCTGAACCAACGTTTTAATTAATAATATGCATAAACTATAGTTTATAGGAAAAACTTGGATACTAAGAATGCTCTTAAAAGTAATAATAAAAAAGCCCAGATTTCAGCATTGAGGCTTCCAGTATAAACAATACCTTTTCCCCTGTAAGCAATAGAGAGAAATCAATCCTACCTCAGCTGCCAGATAGGACAATCACTTAAAGGAGGATGTTCTGGTACAAGACCAGCCCATGTCCATGGATCTGAACCTGGAAAATTCATATCCTGGACAATGTGAAATACACAAACTGTTTTCTTGGAACTTTAGGGGAAGAAGTACTGATCAGCACTTGTGGGGGATGGTGGGAGGAAGATTGCTCACTTTCCTAGCAAAGCTACTTACTCAGGATATAACTCAGCTGTGTTACAGTATCAAGCAAAATATCAGGTACATGCCATAACTGTGAGGCTACTGTTTAATTCCAGATGATCATCATTCTTCTTTATTTTATTCTGACCAGAAAGTCTATTCTGACTTGAGAAAGCTTCCCAACATTTAGCCAATACATTCCCTCATAAAACAGCTGAATTTACCAGAAATTTGCACAAACTCCAAACAAAACCCCACAAAAAAAACCCAAAACACAAACAAACAAAAAAAAAACAAAACAAACAACAACAAAAAAAAACTCAAGCCAAACTTTAAAAAAAAAAAAGTAAAGTTTTACTCAAAACTTTCAGGTCAGCTCTAGAATGGGCTTTGGGCTTTTGGACTTGTGTGTAACTCCTTTCATTGTCTCACTGGTCAACATGGTTACTTATCTCTCCCTGCTGTGCATATGACCAAGAATTGTGTAGGCAGGCGTGCTGGCCAATAAAACCTCAAAAAGCAGTGAAACACTCCCATCAGTGCAAGCAACAGTTCTCAGTATAAATAATTGTCTTGTCATATCTCCTCAGGCCCATTCTCTTTCCTTTCTTTCCCTCTCGCCTGCATTTCCTCAGAGATGTTTTCTCCGTCAACATAGCCTCATGTTACTTCTCTGCAGCTCTGCTGCCCTCCATTCTAAAATCTGGCATTACAGTGAAACTTCCAAGAATTCCATTCTCTGAAGCATTATGAGTCACACTGTAGTCCTCAGCAATATTTTTAAAACACCAATGTTTTTTTAATCACTCTTGAGACCCACAGAAGAAAGTAAGGATATTATCTTGCTAACTTACAGTCGTGGTTGTTTTTTCTATTGCCACCCACACTCTCTCATCTTTCTCCAGATACTCTGCTCCAGTCTCTCAATAGTGCAGGCATATGGTATTCAAGCATGCCAGAGACTGACTTCAAGTTTTAGTCATTTTTCTTCCTGTAAAAAGGATGAAGGGACATTAAGCCTATGACCCTTTGAGAGCTTTCTTTATATAAAAGTTTCATTAGGGTTTATACTTAAAAAAAAATTGTATGCCCTACTGTTAAACTAACAGAGAAACATCAGGTCTGAGACATAATTCATCATACCTGAATACCAGCAGTGCCATGTGTCTGCTATGTCAGAGGCAGCACAGAATTCCCTAGTGTAACAGTGAATATAGGAAGGGGAGAATTCATGCCTGCTCCTTGCAGTGATATCCAAACAAGCATTTTAAGAGAGGAGATGGTTATCTTTAGGAGCTGTAGATTAAATACCATCCCTGATAATAAAAATATAAATCTTTATTCTACTGTTTGAAGAACTTTCCATTTTAATTAGAAAAAAAAATCAACATTACTAAGCTATAGTAAAGTTATCAGTTCATTTTCATTGTATGTTTCAATGCTTCCTCCTCTTTCTTGAGCACGAGGGATGAGGCAGCTTGTATTATGAAAGAGTTGTTTGCAGCCCAGGACTGAAGTTCCACAAATTGCTGTTATCTGCTCTGCAGATGCTCATGTGACACACTGAGTAAATATACCTTAAGGTAAGCACATAACACTGCACAATGGGCATTCAATAAAGAAGATTCCTAAAGACAACAGTTATCTGAATTCTGTAGAGATCAACTTCTTGCATGAAGCACTCGAGGATGACAGGCTGCCCCATGATAGTCTCTGGAAAAAGCTGCCAGGAAACAAGAGGACAAAGAGACCTAGATTTCAAATTACCAGCTGATCATGTGAAGAAAAGTACACTTGGGTCTCAAAAGTTACTGAAAAATGGTCAGTGAGCTTGCCTGTGCAAGAGATGGTTGAGAGAACTGTGAAAATAAACACATCATTGAGAAATGGAGGTAGGATGAGTGAGATTTACTTAAGAAAAGGCGAGAACAGTGTTAAGTGAAATAGAAAAGAATCCATATTAAATACTAGCATTAATGCAGTAAGCCAGGAAGCTACGAGTGATCAAGACTCCTCAAGAATCAGAGTTGGGTGAGGGATTTTATACACACTTATAGATGTATTTATTTGGTAACATAAAATAAAACACAATCATACTGAAACTGCTCATTTTACATCCAGCTTCTATAGAGCTTTTCTGTCTCACTGCCTCATACCCACAAGTGTGGCAAAGCAATAAACTTGCCTTTCATTTTAGTAGGATTTTTCTTCTATTCTATGTGTCTTTAAGAAACCTTGACCAATTTTTTTAGTGTACCAATACTAAACTTTTCGAGGATTCTGTAACTCCTGGGCTGCATCAAAAGCAGCATGGCAAGCACGTTAAGGGAGGTGGTTCTGCCCCTCTACTCTGCCCTTGTGAGACCCCACCTGGAGCACCGTGTCCAGCTCTGGGGTCCTCAGCACAAGATAGACATGGACCTGTTAGAGCGAGTCCAGAGAAGGGCCACAAAACTGATCAGAAGGCTGAAGCACCTTTCCTACCGAGACAGGCTGCGAGAGTTGGGGATGTTCAGTCTGGAGAAGGGAAGGCTCCAGGGAGAATACATTGTGGCCTTCTAGTACCTAAAGGGGTCTTATAAAAAGTAGGGAGAGCAACTTTTTACACAGACAGTGACAGACGTGGGGGAATGGTTTTAAACTAATAGAGGAGAGATTTAGATTAGATATAAGGAAGACATTCCTTACCCAGAGGGTAGTGAAACACAGGAATAGGCTGCCCAGAGAAGCTGTGGGTGCACCATCCCTGGAAGTGTTCGAGGCCACGTTGAATAGGCCTTGGAGCAACTTGGTACAGTGGAAGGTGGCAGGGGGTTTGGAACTAGATGAGCTTTAAGGTCCCTTCCAACCCAAACCATTCTATGATTCTATGATTCTAAGATGCTGTAACTAGCAGCCAAGATGTTTAAAAATTGCTTTACTCTTTGTGGGTGTTTTTTTAAGATGAAAAAGAAAAATTTCTAGGAAATAGGGCCAAAATACTAGCACAGTTATTATCCTAATGTTAAACTTTTAAATCCATGTTTGGTCTTCCTAGTCTCAATAAAGTTGTTACACCTCAGTGACCGATATCCACAAATCTCAGTGAATGGCTATGAGGTACAACTTGGCTAAACATCACATTATCTATCAACTCATTATCATTATAGATTCAGGAACCTATTTAAATATGTCATCCAGTTTTGAACATTTGTCATAAAGTGTAGCAGCGATCGGCTCAGATATTTGGTAACTGCTGACGCCATTGATCAGCTGCAGAGATTTCAATTTTTTACAGAAGCTATCAATACCAAAGAAGCACTTCCTTAAGCCCCTTCTGTTTCCTTATTTTGTACTACTTCAAAGAAAAAGAATATCCTCACCCTCTCTGAACCCCCATCACTGTGATTTTGTGCCTTGGACAGGACACAATGCAACAGACACTACAAACAACCTGTGGTCTGGGCAGCACACATCAGGCTTAGCAAAGAGGATGTCATCAGTCAAAGATCAATAGCTAAAGCTTCCAGGTTACTGTGAATCATACTCCTGAGTGACCCTTCATACTACCTCTTACTGGCTTTTCAGGAATAATTAGAAACAGGTGGCAGTTACACCATTTCTGTAAGTTTAAAGCAAGCTGAAAATCAGAATTGAGTTGCTTGTTGTTACATTTTCAACAGCAGACACTGTCAACAGCAGAGGCAATTTTTGTCTGAATTTACCAATGCTTTATTCAGTGCTTCACAGGCAGAAAAGCCAACTGACACAATAGGGAAATCTTCCACATACAAAGGCCTGAAAATGAAGACTGTTATGAAATTTAGAAACGTGATACTGATGTGAATGTGCATGTCTCTAAAACAGTCTCTTCTATTACAGATCTCAGATTTGTATATGCCAGACATAGCTGAACAAAAGCCAAAGCCTAGATTAATTCACTTTCTATAAAAGTTGCCTACATATGTATATGAAAATCAAAACACAGAAAGTAATATTGGAGAGCTCAAAAAGAAAATCACATTTAATTAGTTACAGGTTAGTAACTAATTAGTACAGAATCAGGAACTTAACCTTGAAGGATTTTTTGTTTTGGCTTGGGGTTTTTTTCTTCAATAAAATAAACTTCTGGAATTTGGTTTTCTTTATAAGCATTCTTTAATGAAGAACTGGTAATGATTTAGTCAGAAAAATACATGGTATTTTGTTCACTCTTACCTTCTTTTTCCATAAAATGTCCCCTCAATATCATTTATGAAAAAAAAAAAGCAAAATACTACTTGGGGGAATCGAAGGGTAAGTATTCAAATAATTTAGAAGATAAAGACCACATATTTCAACAAGCCTGCCCCAGCATGGCAATATAATGGGAGTTACAGCTGCAACAGAGATTTTAACTGGGGAAGAATCAATGCAGATTTGCAGATGGAAGTCATGTCTCAAAAATGTACTAGGCTTGTCTAAAGGAACATGTGGACAAGATGATCTGGTAACCGCAGTGTTGCAATTCTACATTTGGATAGTCTGGTGCATGTGTCTTGGATTTCCATGAAGCTTTGGGAAAATTCACAGGCCTTTAAAAGAAAGAAGCTACTATGGCACAAGAGGAATGGTCCTCTTGAGCATTGTTAGCTTTTTTTCAAGTTAGGAGAGAAAAGAAGGAATGAATGGTCAGTTGTCAAAGGGGAAGAAGATTGTTCACAAGGTGTTACAAGATCCCTACTAGAATCTCTGCTGTTCAGGGTGCTCCTAAGTGATCTCAAACACAGAGTAAACAGAAACTTTATACATTTTGCTGATGACCTGAAATTATTTAGGATAGTCAAAACTGAAGTTGTTTGAGGCAAAGTATAGAAGCATCTTGCAGTCCCAAAAGGCTAATTGGTAAAGAGACAGATGAAATTAAAAGCTATTTCTAAGTCAGGAAAAGAAGGTGTGTACACATTTTTGTACATAGCAGCCACCTGATGTAACTCTGGACAACAAAGTCTATGAAGATTTTAATGATTTAATGAAACTATTAATTTATATCAGTGATTCAGAGTATTCCTAACAGTGCCTTTTAATTTCATTGAAAGTTGGTATCTTTTAGACCATCACAGTATTTTTTATAATTCCACTTGAGAATTGATCTTTTCTGTCATTACACTGCTTAAGAAATACAAACTAATTGTCCTCACACTGTATGAGGTCTATAAACTGTATAACTCTCTTTCTCATAGAAAGAATACTGAGGTATTTTAGTTAAATTAATTGCACAAAGTGCTAAAAATGCATCAAGTAACTCTCCAGTAGGGATTCATTTCCATTGAATCCCTTCCTAAAAGGAATTAAATTAAATTTAAGCTTTCCTTGAGAAGGTGGAAAACACTTCTAAAATGTAGATATATTTCAATCAGACATTTCTGGAAAAGAAAGGTTCAAATTTTCACATTACAAAAAATTACAAGTGTTTAATTGAATTTCTTTATTTTAGCCAAACACTACAATTCAAACAACTTGAAGTAGTAATACACTGAATCTTTTTTTTTCTGAAGATGTTCAAGAATTTGTCTTTTTTGTTCCTACTTGGGATGACTTTCTTTTACAAATTATCTTTTTTTTTTTGAGAAACAAACAAGTTAATTGCCTGACCAAATCAGAATTTGTTTGTCCATTGCATGCCATCAGTTGACAACACCACAAAATCTACCTTTGAAGAATTCTTAATATCTTTTGTGTAGAAACAATATCTGTTTAGTAGTATCTCTTCATAGATTAAATTTTCTGGGTAGAGTATGTCCCTGTTGATTAACAGTCCCTGAAACATCCTAGAAGAAGTTCATATGTAGGGGATACTGAAACAAAACAGAAGTGTCCTGCCCCAGACACACCCAGGCTGAAACTAAAACTTACTCTGAAAGATGAGGAAAAATACTGAAAAAAACCCCTAATTGTAATAGAGGAATTTATATCCATTTTAAAGTTTTTTGTAGTAACTGCACTGGACCATGATCTGAAAAGGTAGGCTTCAGCTGCTCAGTCAATCCGTAATTCTGCATACAGCCCAGCTAAAGCTCCAGGCATATGAATAGATTGTATTAAGTAACTACCTGTTTTCAGATTTCTTCAGCTGCCAGTCTTTACCCTTGCAGGCTCTCTGTAACATACGAAATAAAAAGGTCTTAAAATAACCCCATGCACTAAAAAATGCTGGGAGAGGACCAGCTGGAAGGCAGCCTGGCAGAAAAGAAGGTGGGGTCCTGGCGGACACCAAGTTGAACATGAGCCAGCAGTGTGCCCTTGCTGCGAAGGCGGCCAAAGTTATCCCAGACTACATTAGGAGGAATGTTGTGAGCAGGTCAAGGAATGTGATCCTTCCCCTCTACTCAGCACTGGTAAGGCCACACCTGCTGCACTGTTCTGTACAAAGCGAGACATAGAGATACCCCGGTGAGGGTCCTGCAAAGGGCCACTAAGACGATTAAGGGACTAGAGCACCTCACATGATGAAAGGCTGAGAGAGCTGGGACTTTATAACCTGGAGAAAAGAAGGTTCTTAGTGTGAATAAACACCTGAAGGGAAGGTGTACAGAAGGTGGAGCCATGCTCTTTTCAGTGGTGCCCAGTGAATAGGACAAGAGGCAATGGGCGTCAACTGAAACCTGGAAGTTTCCATCTGAAAAACTTTTTCCTATGAGGATGACTGAGCAATGGCAGAGGTTTCTCAGAGAGGCTTGGAGTCTCCATCTGTGAACATATTCAAAAGCCATCTGGAGATGGATCTGGGCAACTCTCTCCCAGCAGCCCTGCTTGAACAAGGGTGTGGGATCAGATGACCTCCAGAGGTCCCTTCTAACCCCAACCATTCTCTGATCTGTGATTCTGTAAAATATTACTCAAATTGACAAAAGATTAAAGAGAAAAAAATAAAAAAATACAGGAATAATTGAAAAAATTAGTCTTTAACAAGAAAACTAGGGAAAATATGCCTGAGCAACTAGAGCAGCAGAATCTTTCTGGTACATTTATTTATAACAAGTACTTAATAAAACAGCTAGAAAAAAAAATATAAACCAGAAGGAGGACATACAAATCCACAGATTATAAAAGAATTATATAGCTAATTTATGAACTACTGACAATTAAATTGGTATGCTAAGAGGAGAAGGTAGTGAGAAATAAAAAAAATTCAAAAGGAAGAAATATGGTTTGCACTTGTCCCATGGAAGTCCAAGGAATTCTAGCACTTGGTTTTCGGTATCTCTCACTTCTCCTTTCAGAAAAACAATTGAATATATGTTATTAGAAAAAAAAATGTATGACCCCAAAGAGAGACTGAGAACATACTAGAACCATAAGCAATAGAAAAAAAAAAAAGAATAGGATCAAAAGATCACAGAATAACTTATGTTGGAAAGTACCCCTGAAGTTCATTCAGTCCAGCCTCCATCTGAAAGCAGGGTCAGCTATGAGATATGACCAACTTGTTCGTATGCAGCTTGGTCTTGAAAACCTTCAAGGACTGCACAACTTCTCTGTTTTGATGGTTGACTGACCACAGTGTAAAAAGGTTTTTCCTTAAATCCAGCTCGACCTTGTCTTGTTTCAACATCAGTTCGCTATCTCTTGTCATCCCATCACACAGCACCATGAATAGCCTGGCTCTAGGTCCCCCAAAAACCATATCTTCTCCATGTTGAACAAGGCTCAGCTTCTCCTCCTGAGGCAAATCCTTCAACCCATGACTATCTTGGTGGCCCTCCACTAAACTCACTCCAGTTTTAAATGTAAATGACAAATCCTGGGTAAGATAAATAGCACAATCACTTCAGAGATAACCATAACGCAGTGATGAATAGTCTTTTTAGAACAGTCTTGAATTTTACATCTTAGAGAACTGATAATATATAAAAGACACAATTTGAAAAGATCTCCCTATTCAGGAACGAAGATGAACTTTTGCTTAACTTTTATTGAGATCAAAGTCCCACTTAGACAATTATGTTTAAGAATCTACTTGCATTTCTTAACAAGGATAGACTCGAGCACATGTTAAAGCGTTTTCCTGAATCTGGGCAAGAGAATGCAGAATATAACCTGTAACTGGACTTTGTATCTGATTACAGTGCCTTTCAAAACTTTACCCACAAATGATTCATATTTTCCCAAACCCTTACAAAACCTGATGAACTGCAAAGCAATTAAAAGACTGAAACAAAAGGTAATGGAAGAACATATACCAAGTCTGGAAAGAGGTGGTACAAGACACAACAGAGTTCATTTAGTATTACTAAAGATTTCCATTAGCTACCCATGGCGATAGATAAATAGCACTTACACTTGTAAATGACATTGTACCATTACAAATTCTAGTGAAAAGAGTGAAATACATTGCAAAGAAGTCTGAAAATATCAGACTATGGAAGCCAACACCGCTCGCCTTGCTTATACAAAATTCCCATTAAAACCATAAGGTGTGCAGAATTTGGCTCCTGGAAAGAGGAAATAAAGGAACAAATCCAAAGCCCACTGAAGTCAATAGGAGACATTCTTCTGACCTCAATGGGCTTTGGACATCACCCAAAATGAGATTCACTCTGGAAAAACGCAAGCTGAAGGAAATAATCATTCAAAAAGTATCTGGGAGAGAGATGTTTGGAAAACCTGGAAATCAAAGAATACCTAGGAGACTTTGTGTAATATATGATACGTGACAAGAGCTTATGAGCACTGTTACAAGACTGTACCTTTTCTAAAAGCTGATTAGTCTAGAAATGAAGACAGAATATAAGAAAGAAGGAAACAATCAATTCCGTCCATTTAGGGAGCAGAAGTCACAGGGATATCATATCACAGTGCACGTAAGTTGTTTTGTATGGAATTTAAAATGTGCCAATCATCAAAAAAAACCACAGCACCAAATTATCCCATTTGTGAAATCCCTAATTTCTCAGCTCTTTTCCCAGATACAAGTCTGCATATAGGAATCCATGGTCAGACTTCAACATGATAGAAGTGTCGTATTTTTTATTTGGTCCTCTTCTCATTTTAATGATGGTCAACAGAGCCTTTTAAGATTCTATCTTTCCCATTACACATGAATACCTTTTGCTAACCCAAGGATGTCCTCCTTCTTTGGTGGAAGGACACCCACTTTCATTCTCCTGTACACCTTGCTGCTGCCAGATGGAGAAAATTTTTCAAGAGTATACATACACCCCAGTAAAATGAAGGTCTGACCTTATTCTCAAGATCAAATAGACTCAACATCCACACTATGAATTCTCAAGATACCTATCCTCAACTGGATAAGGACATCTATAAGCACATGCTATATAGCAGAAAATGATAAAGGTGGTTTCTCCTCATCTGGTCTTCTGCTGACAGAAGCACATGTCTCCATTTATTCAGTGAAAGAACCTACGAACTGAATAAACTGATAGTATTGAAGGCTCTGGCAGGCTGACTAACTCATCTACTGCAGTTCAGAATATCTTGATCCTTCTCTGCTGTCACTACTGTTGCTCCTGAGGAGAAGAAAACTTTATTTCTCACAAAAAAAAACCCAAACAAGCTCTCTCAAACCTAAACTCCAACACAAACCATGTGTGGCTCAATAAATAAGATTCATGAGGTTTTGCAATTTACTGCTTCATTGGTCCAGATCACCTCTATATAACTTTTGCTTGTAAGACATAGATAAGAAAAGGGTGAAGACAACAAGACATCCCTGAATAAATGTATTGGAATAAATAATTGCAAGATGATTATGATAACGACACAGCTACAGTTCATTCTAGGATGTCTTTAGGTTCATACACTGTAGGTTATGTGCTATTTGTACCATCATTTCTGGTTTAAAATCTTTCTATTCTTAGATTTTAAAACAAGAATAATTATTTTTTTTGGAATTGTATAGCTGACCCTTCACAGAAAATGTTGGAAAACATTTTATTCTGAAATATTCATCTTTATGCTTCATAGATTTTTGGACAACTTTACATTTAAAGCTCATTGGCTTTTGCTAGAAAATCATGCCTCAACATGACTGTAATTCTTTCAGTGGGCTCAATCCTGTGAAATCCAGAGCACTAATTTCTATCAGTTCTCAGGTTTTCCCCAAATCTGATCTCTTGTGACATCATAAAATGTTCAATGAAATGAAATCACAAAGAAAGGATTAATTCTCATGGGTAGGAAGAAAAAGGAATACATGGATTTTAAAACACAAAGTTTGCAAAGAAAGTTCTTTAACAATAAAAAGGGAAAAGAGAAATTGTGGATAACATGATACACAAGAGAACCTTTCTTAGTAAATTGCATTGCAAAATCTTTTTATGAAGCTTCAGTAGGTTTTTAGAAAGTAGAACCCTATGCTCTTACACTAAATCCTCTGTGATTTTATAACACTGATACTGGAAAAATCAAACCTCTTGCCTGAAAGCTCTAGTTTCAATTAACGAGGATGTTAAGCATTTTTTTCAGATACATGAAAAGAGTGACAGGATTATAGACCACCAAATTGTTGGTATTTTAAGAATCTGACAGGCTCAGCACCATGTGCCATTCTAGCCTCTCTGTGTATCCTTTGTGGTTAAAACTCTTAAGCACTTTAAATTCTTTTGGTCAGTATTTTTTTCCTTTTAGGGCAGACAACTAGAAGCACATTCCAAGTAACCATTTATGGTGTACAGAAAATTATAAGATTCTAAAATCACCTCTTTGAAGGTGTTTCCAGGCATTGGATAGTAAAACAAATATTTTATTTATAAAAAAAAAGGTTGTTGTTTTAAATCTAGAATATAATTATCTATGTTCCAAATCAAATGAAAGACAGTAACAGCACAAAGACAGAGCAGAATAATACATGTCAAATCCTAGAGCCTTTACTTGGACAAATCTCCCATCAAGCTTTGGTGGCAGCTTTGCCTGATGAAATATAGCTAAGCCAGACCTGAAATAAGCAAAAATTTAAGAAGGCACATCAGTGGATTTGGTTATGGAACAACAAATGAAATGTTTATTTTTCTTGTCTGAAAAATAACAACAATCAATATAAAAGTGGAAGTCCACTAAAATGGTAGTCCTCAGATATATTTATCCAGATACAAAAGAGGACCAAAAAGATGTTTGAAGAAACAGATGACTTTCCAGAATATTTGATACAGGCTGGAAGAAATATGCAAAGAAATTTTTCAAATCATCAAGTTTTGGCAAACAGAACTGACTGTAGCTTTGCATAACTTCATTTACAAGTGGCTCAGTTCTCTCATATTTCTTCTTTTCCAATGAATAAGACAAAACTGTGGACTGGTCCCGTGCAGGAAACGCATCTGCGTGTTGGGGCTTACGGTGGGGAAGAGGCCAAAGCTCCTGTGCTGCAGCCAGGAAACCCACCAGGAAGCAGGTTCCTTGGAGCCCAACACCTGGGGAAGAGCTGGTGGACATGCAGCCCAGCAGACTGTCCCACTCGGCAGACCAGCGCGCCGGGAGGCAGGGGATGAGGGGAGCTGCCAACCACCTGCAGCTGGTATGTCAGGTCATGGAGCAGGAGAAAGATTCTGGCACTGTGCTAGGAAAGTCTGTAAGACATACCCCTATCTGTGGGGGTGCGTGGATGCTGGAGCCAAATCTGTGAGTCTCACACTCA